TGTGTGTGTGTGTGTGTGTGTGTGTACCATCAAAGACTTCCCAACAAGGCTTTATCCCTCGTTTCAGAACAAGACTTATTTAAAACACCAAGATTTGCATAAAGGGTGTATAAATGTATAATCTGTGTTTTCGGATTGTGAATAATTCCCATGAAAACCAACTGCGTGTGCATCCAAACCTGGTATATCTGATTCCTCTGAGCCACAGAGCTCCTGTATTCCAAAAACTATTAGAAACACATCAGTGGGCCACACTGTTGTTCCTTAATCATCATGAACACAAACACACCACACACGCGTGAACAGTCTCGTTGCCCCAAATACTCACTAGAGCACCAAATGTGGATTAATCCTGCAGACAACGGTCCCAGACAGACGCTCTATTTCCTCCTGTTGGACTCAACGTGTGCAGGTGTTGCTTTTTTATATGTGAGCCAAGTTTTAAAGATGTATTTCTGATGTGAGCATCAAATAAATATTAAACTTTTATCACTTGTATATTGAGGTTTCATTTAAGGGCACGTATCTCTAAGTTTTATTCAGTAAAAAATGTATTAAAATGGTAACAAGACGACGTCACCATGATAATCATAAAAACATCTTGTGGTGAATAAGAAGGTTTGATCGTCATGAAGGAGCTGCGTTCGTACAATCCGCCGTAACCGAGCCAATAAAATGCTTCTGACATTTATTGTCTGGCTGTTGAACAGTTCCTCTTTGTGCCGTGAGTCTAAATCACCTCGTTCAGAGACGCTGAGAAGTTGGACCCTGCAGCCTCAGAGATAATGGCCTCATGAACACCTTCATTAAAACCAACACCAGTTCCATAAAGACATGGACGACTGCCACCGCCACAGGCCCCCGGACAGATCCCGCTTCCCACGCCGCGGGGATGAAATCAGCCGTGATGTGTCCGGTCCACATTTTAAGAGAAGTGAGCGCCCGCCAAATATTCATCAGCGTGGTCGAGAGGGCAGGAAGCAGCTTAGGCTCAAATCAAATCTGTGATGGTCGACTTACACGACATCGCTCCTAACTTCAAAAGTAAAGATGACATCAATGTGGAGGGAGGAGACGAGCGGTGGACACACGTGCACACATGCTAACTGACAGCACAGGAAATACAAAATTAAAGGTCGAGGCCAAACCAGGTCTAATATGTGAAAAACATCAAAATTGATTTCTGTCCTTCAGCAAAACCTTCAGTCCAAAATCTGAAGTTTTGTTTACAGGACCGATAAGTGTGTGTGTGTGTGTGTGTGTGTGTGTGTGTGTGTGTGTGTGTCTTGGTCTTTACCTGGTGGTGTGTAGGCATCCATGGATGTCTGAACCACCAACGACCGCCGCTTCGACGGCATGGGCACCGCCATCTTCCTCTCTTTGTGCTTGGCCAAGGCCGCCTGCACAGCCTCTGTGTGCACATCTGGAGACAAACACACGACTTTTAGTTCCCGGTGCATCGTGAACACGATCGGACAACCATCTCGCAGGGAAACTACAGTAACACTGTGGAGTGTCTCACGTTTTGTTTTCGTGCAGTTTTAAGAAAACTCTGATTTTCTGATATTCTGATTTATCATATAATTCCACAGCGCTGTTTATGTTTGGATGGGTTTTTTCACGACCGCCAGGAAGAGAATCCTCTCAGGTATTTCTCACTCTCACTTTATTTCTGTGCTTGACGAAATACTGGATGCAGTGTGAGGTGAACTGTTCCAGACTCTCTCCATCAGGATGAAAAGTTGTTTAAGACTCAGAAACATATCAATATAAACACTGTTAACTCAACTGTGAAATTCATAAAGCACAAGAACCAGTGATGAGATCTTATTTAAAGACCATTTTACTTTGAGGACATTTAGGATTTTTACTGCAGGACTTTTACATTGAGGTAGTTTTACCACAATAAAGTATCTGAGTATTTCTTCCACTGCTGCTGAACCCATGACCCGAGAGAGAAGTTGACTTCTCAGGCACCAGTGATGGCGTCCAGTGCAAACGCATGGAGAACCGTCAGCAGGCCTCTGTGTTTGTGCCGCACTTCTTCTTCGGTTTACGTACACAAACACTCCCTGCTTGACAGCGGCTCCCATGAGGCCCCGGGAGGGTTGCCGACCAGATTAAGTTCAGGGAGTGCCGGTGAAGACCTTGTGTAAATTAGCGTTTCAAAGAGCGAGATAAAGAGCGGCAATATAACTCCAGCTTGGTTTGTTTGAGGAGCAGACGGCAAACACACGATGAAGAGACGGCTGTTGTCCCGATAACAACACGAGTGAGACATTTGTCAGAGTGAACGTGGGCTCACAGATGCACGTTTGTTTGGCTTCTGTGTACTGTTGTTTGGAAACGGAGGTCATTTAAATCTCAAGTGCACGTTTATTGTCTGACGGTCGACCGAGTGAGACTGAACTGTGTTCGGAGGAGAGAGTGTGAGTCTGCAAAACCTTTCTTTTTCAACTTAATGGTTTAAAAGGTTGTTTTTTTTTACAGGATTTATTTTGGGGTTGGATCAAACAGCATGCAGGACTATAATGATAAATAAATGAATCACATCTTGTTTCTTTTCTTATTGGATCTTCACTTCTAACCCCGAATGTCACCAGAACAAATTTCGCACAGATTAAATTTGAATGAGATGCCACTGAAAAGAATCCACCCAACACGCCTCTCACCTGATCTGTAGCGTTCGTCTCTGGAGCCAGAGGACCGTCGGCGGTGGTAGCGGGAGGACGAGGACGGGGTGACGGGTGTTCTTCTCTCCTGGCCCATGGACGGATCCATTCCTGGAACAAAGGAGATTCAGATCAAAGCCTTCATCTGAATCCAAATCTAGAAGCTACTCCACAGCAAAACCCAAAAGTTTTGTCCTTCTAACCTAAGATAAAGTTAAAAATGAAAGCGTTCAAAGGGACGATTGGATGCAGATGATCACGACCCAGATCTACAGACATTCACACAGTAGGTGGACTAAAAAGACGTACGCTTCATCACCGAACTAAAAACAATACAACTCCAGCTACTCACAGAGAAAACCGCCTCCCCACACACCAATCAATACGTCTGATGAGAATAACCACCCTGTTCCTGACAGCTGCTGATCTACGAGCATCCATCTCACCCTCGTCTGTCTTCATTAGAGCTCTCAGTGTGGCTCAGGGTATCGCTGCTGCTCAGGAGAAGAGCTAAAAGTTGATTAGCCGACCACCGACTCCCAGCCAGAGCAGGAATATATGAGAGGTCTGCGAAATACCCCGCTTCGCTGCTCTCCTCCGGGGAGTCTGGATGGATGGTCACGTAGGAAACATGAAACAGTAAATTTTATTTCCACTGACTCTCGGCTTGTGTCGGTGTATAATTCAAGGTTTGCAGGGTGAGTGAAGAAAAGCTAATAAAGGCCTGATTTTAAAAAGTCTACACTACACGGCCTGTTCTGAAGGAGACGTGAAGTGTGCAGCAGCTAATCAGAGGCGAGTCGAGGGTTGAGAACACGGCGGCACTCGGGCTGACGAGAAACTCTTTCATCAGACAGATTAGGCCACTTGCTCGTCTGCATTGTCCTGCCAACAAAGATCTGAGCATCATTAGAAATCGCCAGTGCCAGTGGGAAAGTGATCAAAATGGACTGAACATCGATTGCTCCAACCAAACCTGAGACTCCGCCCGTCTGAGCGATGCACGTTTATGTGGATGTCGACTTTTTTGCTGATGATGTGCTGAAGCATCGCTGATGAACCAACATGAGCAGCAGTTTTAATTATCTCCGCCAGAGAAAGAGAAAGAAAGAGAGAATTTATTGTGTGAAGACTGTGAGAGAGGGTCTGAAAATGAAAAAGGGGCGTGCCGTGTGAATGCATGTGTGTGTGTGTGTGTGTG